TGATTTGGAAAAAGATATTTGTATTTCAATACAAGTGGTTTCCTTTGAAATTTTATATATTTTTATTTTATACATTTAAAAACAGTCCTCTGAAAAACCTGGAAAGACTTATATGAATTGACGCTGAGTGAAGTGAGAACCAGGAGAAAATTGTAGAGTAACAACATTGTGAGATGATCAGCTATGAAGGACTCAGCTCTTCTCAGCAATAAATGCAATGATCCAAGACAATTTCAAAAGACTCAGGATAGAAAATGTTATCCATATCCAGACAAAGAACTATAGAGTCTGAAAGCAGGTAGAAGCATACAATTTTCACTTTTTTTTGTTTTGTTTTTTGTGGCTTTTCCATTCTGTTCTTTTTCTTCTTTTACATGACTAATGTGGAAATATATTTATGTGATTACACAAGTATAACCTACATCAGATTGTTTGTCATCTTGGGAAGGGGAGATGAGGGAGAGAGAGAAAGAAAAAAATTTGAAACTCAAAATCTTATAAAAAATACATGTTGAAAATTATCTTTACATTTAATTAGAAAAATTAAAATAATATTTACAAAATAAAAAAATAAAAACAAAAACATTCCTCTGAGAAACATTACTCCATGTGCTTCACCAGCCCAAAAAAGGGGGCCCATGACACAAAAGAGGTTAAGAACCCCTAGTCTAGAGATTGAAGAAAAAGGGCTCTGGGCAAAGTTTGGGGTACCCCCAGATAGGTTGTGTGATATAGAGGAATATTCACCTTTTCCAAGCATACCAAGAAACTAGGATTTACCAGTTTAAATAAACATAATTATCTTAAGTTTCAAGTCATTGTTAGTCCAATGAACTAACACATGCAGCTGACCCTATGAGACTTCAGGTGCCTCCTCAAGAATCTGTGTAATTATAAACTCTCTAGCTTGGTGCTGGTTCTCTTGGAAGGCAGCAAAAACCTCAGAAATCCCTTGGCGGGTTCAACAATGGCCACCCGAGCTCCTCTTGGGTAACATGACCCAATTCTTTCCAAGTGAAAAAGGAGAAAGGAAAAGTCAAATAAACAGCTACTTAAAGAAAATTCCCACCAATGTAGGTGGTTCAGTACAAACTTATTTTACAAAGCAAATGCTGTTTCTATATAAACGATGAGATAGTCACTTTCAGCAATTAGAAAGCAATAAGCGTTAAAAGTATTGACCCAGAGATATTAATATGCAATATTAATAGACATTAATTCCTCTATTAATCAAAGTGGGTCTATTCAACCACTTGCTTTATTTATTACCAGAAGCAGAAACCACGGAGATGCCTTCTACAGGATAGATTTCTTTTTCCCTTCCCATGACACACCAAGCCCCTCAGCCCCCAGAAAATATAGCCTTCCTGCCTCCCTGGGGCTAAGGCCTTCTCTAGGGACAGAGGGGGTGTCACCATTCACAGCAAAAAGAGTGATTGGCCAGGGAGTTAGGACCCAGGTTCTAATCCTGACTCCTTTGCCACTAACTGGTTGTAAGAGTGAACAAATTTCTTGAGCTTTCTGGCCCATCTGTAGAATTAGGTAGTAAGACTAGAAGGCATATAAGGTCCCTTCCAATCTGTAATTGTCTAGTTCTATTCTCCACTCTTGGGTAACAAGGCCATACATACCCTGAGAGTGCAACCTTCCCCTCAACCAGTCAGTCCTTAGCCCTGGACTCAAGAAATCTATAAGATTATAAATATTATAGTTTTTAGAAATGAAAGAAACCCTATACACTGGTTGGGCTACTAAATACTAGGGGAAAGAGTTCAAGAGTAGAGTCAGGAGGACCTGGAGTCAAACCCTCCCTCTGATACTTACTAGCTGTGTGACTGAGGGTTGATCACTTAACTTTTCTAAGCTTTTATCTGTAAAATGGGCCTGAAATAACAATTTCTGTCTCATATAGTTTTTTAATGAGGCTTAAATTTCTTAAGTCAATGTAAGGTGATTCGAAAACATTTAAAAATATTCCAGTTACTATTATCATCCAGGACAACTTCCTCATTTTACAGAAGCAGCAGGTAAGATTCAGAGGAGGTTCATGTGCCCTTTGAGATCCAGGAGTCCAAACTCCTCATTTACCGGCTATAGAAAGGTGAAAGGAACTGTCCCAGGTCATGGAGCTCCTAGCTTGGTAAATCCTAGGTTCCCAGCCATGCTGTCCTCTAAATACATACACTGGGTGGCCTCCTCTGAGCAAACACAGCAGAGCCTTCTCCTCTTTCCAAGTCTGTCACCACCAGCCCAATGCTGGAGACATGAAAATGACTCCCAACCCTCTCCTGGAGCATGTCGATGATCTCTCCAAAATCTCCAAAACATTCCATAAAGACCAAGACACCTCATATTCCTGGGGATGCCAAGGTCACATGGCCATCAACATTAAGCATTGATTTAAAAGTCAACATCTGGAAAACAGAGTTCATTCTAATAAAATATTATTTGAAAGTATAATTTGGTGATGAAAAAAAAAATTAAAGGAAAAATAGTTCAAAGACAAAGAAAAATAACAAAGAAATCCACAGAAACCAAAATAACCAATTGTGAAGAAGGTAAATACAGGCTGCTCAAGAGCAGTTTTCAAAATGTATAAGCTTACTTTTCCTTTTTTTTTCTGTTAAAATTTCTGTTTTAAATGATTTGTCAAAAACAAAACCCAAGAACCAAGCATCACACCTTTCTTGCCAGGCCACTTGAGCCAGGATTCCAATGATCATCTTTATTTTATTTTCCCTCTTTTTTGATTGAACACAAAATCTGACCCTTGCTACAGTGGCCCAGAACAACCTGGAAAATTAAGTTTATTTCTTCTGGCAGTCACAATCTGTACTCAGAAATATAAAACTGTTATTCTGAATAAATTTCAAAGTTCCACAGGCCTAAAATTACTTTACTGAGAGAGGACAAAATGAGCTGTTACAGGGAGGGAAAGGGATTGTTATCCCAAAAGAACAGGCTGCTCTCCAGCGCTCACACCACCTCTTCTGTTTGGCAAAATAAACAACTAGAGACACTTGATTTTACTTTGTGTACCAGGCTAATAAAGAACTCCTGGGGCAAAAAGCCCATGACAAACACTCATTTTGTCACCAATTTTAAAAGGAAGAGGCCTGGTTCAATTTTGCTAAATGAGCAGCACATGTTTTTCAAGGGTTTTTTTTAAAATTTACATATAAATATGTACCTTGGTGGAAAAAAAAACTACAAACAACTTATTGCTTTTTGCTAATAAGAATAATATTCTTGTTTCTCAAAGGATTTTAAAATTGCTACTTTAATGAGAGAAAAGACATGTTCATTTTAGTTGTCAATCTACTAAAACTTAAAGAGTGTCATCAGATCACAACAAAGCCACCCTACTTATACGACTCTGGATGTGGTTCTGACCCTGGGGGCTGTGGCTGCAGCTGCTGCAGGTAGGGGCTCTCCAGGAAGGTGAAGACAGGTGGCAAACTCAGTAACTCTGGAGAGATCACAAAACTGGATAACTCTATTGGGATGGAGAGGTAAACACTGAAGTCCAACCGGAGAAGCTCGTCTAACAGTCCACCTGCTTAGCCCACAGAGGCCTTCACATAACAAACAGCCTGTGGACAGGAGATACATGACTCTAAGGGAAGGAGCCCAGGAACATGAGCTGAGGCTCTTCCTTCTCCCTCCGTGGGAGACAGCCTGAGGAAAGCAGGCTGGCTGGATGCAGATTTCACTGCCTTTTACTTCCAAACAGGAACTGAATTCTTAAGGGCTGCTTATTACAATGCAAACTTTCATTCTGCCATTCCCACAGGGGTGTCCCCCTAGCTAAAGAACAGCCGACCTCTGGAGCCAGAAGTTGTCCCAGTGGAATTCTCCAACTTTATCTCCTTCCTCACTTGACCCCATCTCCCTACTCCTTCCAACTCAAGACCTTCCAACTTGCTTCCTCCTTCCCTCTACCTCCCCGAATCCCACCTGAACATTCTTCAATGTTCAGCTCTGTGTCTATCCCTTTCAAGAAGCAATCCACACAGTTCTTGGCTTCTCCTGAATTCCTACATATTTATTACCCAGTACCCCTCAATGACACACTTCCTTGCATCATTCATTTTTGTCTGGTTTTCTCCACAACTAGATTGTAAACTTTCTGATGTAGGACCCCTGTGGTCCATCTTTGTATCTCTGCTGTACCTAGAACAGTGCTCTGAACACACAGCATGCCCTCCTATCAACTAAAAGAAAAGCTTATCTGTAAAGTCTTCCAGCACCCTCATTCTTCAGGCTTGTCCAGTTGCTTCCTATTGACTGATTACTCCCAGAAGGAAAGCGTGCAGGATCACCTTTCTACCCTGAACTGATGCCTAGCCCCTGCTGCTTCACTTGGCTCCTGTCCTCCGCTTGAACAAAGAAGAAAAGCAAATTCAGTGCCATGGTTTCAACGTACTGTTCTGGCATCTGAGCCTGCGTCAAGAACGCAGTCTTGGGCTTGGGTGTCTAGTTCCAACAAGATTACTGGCTGTGTGATACCTAGGAAAGCAGAAACAGGATGTCTGCAACCAAGATGTCAGCAGAGGAAGGGACCGTGAAAAGACAAAGGGATTGAACACAAAATTGGCAGTCCAGAATCCATAACGGTGGATGAAGAGTTCCTTGTAGTTTTTAACTAAAGTACAAAGGTCTATCACACTAAAGGATGAAAAGGTTGACAATAACCCTTTGGCCTGCAGCTGAATCCGAGTACTTGGGACAGCCTGGGAGGTCAGAGCAAATCTAGCATTGCAAAAGGGGCAACCAAGTCAATTCCTGTAAGTGGCCTCTCTTTTATAAAGCCATAAAAAACAACCTGACAAAAATGTGGCTTGTAGACTACTTATAGGAATATAACTAAGTGCCATATCCATATTCCTTATTAAAAACCTCCCCACACAATCTTGATGGAAGATAGAGAAAAACTCCAAATTAATTCTTCTAATTCTAAAGCATTTCTCATGTCTAGATGGAATGATAAAATGTCATACCTTTTGGATTTCTTCAGGCAACGCATGTATGGGAATATGCCGGTCCATACTGTCCCAAGACACACTTACAGAAGTCAGAAGGTGCCTAAAAAATGTTGATAATCACAGACAGTCAGAATTTGTTAACTAATTGAGGGGAAAGTTAAACAGCAAATATAAATGTGTGGGAATTTCTGAGGATGCATTTTCTACTTCAACAGAAGTTTCATTGATCTTGAGTCAAGAGATGCTATTGTGGTTTTCTCACAATACCTAGTTATGCCTAAATCATAGGAAAATCATGTTACTAGTTGCTCTGCTGAGTAAACAATGTGCTCTCATGAGTTCTACTCTTTAAAACATTGCTAATCCCTTCCTTAGAGACTTAACAGCCTAAAAGTATTTTCTTTAGTAATGTCAAACCACTACTTGCTTAGGAATAGAGAACAGAGATCAATATCTTAAACTTTAAATACATACATACATACATACATACATACATACATACATACATACATATATATATATATATATATATATATATATAGACATAGATTTATTTCATTTGGAAAGTTGATTTCTGAAAAAGTTACTAGTAAAACAATGATTAAACATAGTACTTTAACACAGTGGATGACAGGGATGACAGTTTATTCTGGCATACTTTTTTAATGAAAAAGTAAAAGTCAAAATATTTATATTTCAGCTTCTTCCATTAAAATTTGCGCCAAAAAAATACACAGAGAGTAGGCAAGAGGCTTTTTTGTCAATGCATCAAAGACTGTGCCAATATTTTCTTGTCACTGGAAATAGGATAATCTCTTAATGGAAACATTTTCCTTTAACAGATTGTTATTTGATAATTATTCCCTAATAAAGGTTTCAGCTCTCTATTAATCTTTCAAAAGACCAGAATGTTCTTAAGACTGGGGAAGGTGGTGGTTGTGTTTTTTTTTAGTATTTCCCTCTTCCTACCACTGGCCAAGGGAACAGAATGCCTTGCCCACATGCTCCATGGATCAATTACTATTCAAATACTGTTCTCGCCTTAGCAGCATTTTGGGTCCTTTTATATTATTCAGATGTTTGCTGCCACTGGGGGAGAGGATTCATTATTTCATTTGTTAATACAAACACCCTTCCTAACTACTCAAGGTCATTGTGAAAAAAGTATAATATTAGCATGCTATTTCTTCCATACAGACTACAAGAGAATCTATCATCATTCTCTTTTTATATCTCAGAACAAACTGACATTAACATATAACAATAGACCAAGCCATGGATAACAATCTATTGTTAGAATGGAAAATTAACAAGACAAATACTAACAACAGTTTTTCTTACTGTAATCATTACATACTGATTCTCAATATGAGGTTGATACATTATTTTGGGTTTTTGGTTTTTTGTTTTTTGCTTAGGCAGTTAGGGTTCAGTGACTTTCCCAGGGTCACACAGCTAGTAAGTGTCAAGTGTCTGAGGTCATATTTGAACTCAGGCCCTCCTGACTCCAAGGCCAGAGCTCTATCCCCTGTGCCACCTAGCTGCCCTTGTAATGCTGTTGTTTTTTTTTTTAACTAGAAATATCAGTAGGAATTCCTTATGACTTTATTTGACCTCAGATGGTATTCTGTGGCATGGTATATTACATTTATATCTCAGATATGATATAGATATAGTTACAGATATCTACTGGCCAAATACCATTCAACAATCTTTTCGTTAGCATGGAAATATGGTGATAAAGCATGTCTTATTTTAACTCTACATTATACATCTCAGTATAAGAATGCCTTCACAAATGACTCTATGCATATTCAAACAGTGTGGTCAAGATACTACAAGATATCACTACGCCAACAGAAGAAAATTCATTCATTCATTCAATAAATATTATTGGTGTTCAAAAAAAGACACAAGAAGAAGAAACAATTCTTGTTGTCAAGTAGCTTACTGAGTGTAAGTTTCACAAGAGAGATACAAAGAAAGTATCATGGAGGTTCCAAGGTGGGAGACCTCTAGTCCAGCTGACAGGCCTAAAGGTTTCATAAAGAGAAGAGTGTTTGAGCTGGGCCTTGGGGAATGACCAGGACTCTAAGTCACAAGTCACTCTAAGTCACTCTGAGGAAAGGGGACTCAAGGATTAACAAAGTTCCTGAGGAGTGAAAGGTGGGTCACCATCAGGGAAGAGTAGTCATTTTGGCCAGAGAACCAAGTACACTTATGGAAGAAGAGAAAAATAAGGCTAGAGCTGTTGGATTGGGGCAAGGACACCAGAGTTAGAGTTTGGACTTCATTTGAGAGGCAATAGGGAATCAATGAAAGATTCTGAAAGCTTCAGCAAAATTATTGTGGCCAGGCTGTAAAAGAGGAACGTTCTCCAAGGGGCAGGAAGCAGCTTTCAATACTATTGCAACAGCCCACCAAGAAGTAACAGGGATCCCCCAATAGATAAGTGGGCAAATTCAGCAACAAGGGGCCAGGCCAAAACACTGTATGCAATGTCACCTGGAGGTGCTATCCTCGGTGCTTTTTTTTTTAAACTCCTTTTACTGTTGTTTCAAGGGAAGATTCAGGCTTTTCTTCCTCCCAGAAATGACTATGACATAATGACAAAGGATATCGATAAAACATTTTTTAAAGTAATGTGGGCCTGGCCTTGCAGAGGAATAGAGAAAATGGGATAGACTTGAAAGAGCTAATTGTGACATAGAAACAACCAAAGTCAGAGAGTGATTGGGTGTGAAGGGTGAAGAGAAAAGACCAAGTTTCAAGTCCGGGTAGGGCTGCTAGGTGGCACTGCAATAGATAAAGCACTGGGCCTGGGGTCAGGAAGACCTGAGTTCAAATCCAGCCTCAGACACTTACTAGCTGTATGACCCTGGATAAGTCACTTCACCCAGTTTGCCTCAGTTTCCTTTTCTGTAAAATGAACTGGAGGAGGAAATGGCAAACCATCCCAGTATCTTTGCCAAGAAAACCCCAGATGGGAAATGACTGAACAACAACAAAGAGGATGAGCTTGCTGAAGGGTGAAAACAGTGAGTTCTGTTGGGGGCACGCTGAGACTGTAGTGAGACACCAGGGCAGGCGATAGATTTAGGAGTGATTGGCAAAAAAGCAACAGACAGTTGAAAGGGCAGGAATAGATGAGGTAATAGTAATGATCCACATTCCTATGGTATTTTAAGGTTTATAAAGCCCTTTCCTTAAAGTAATTGTAGGTGGTGGGTACTACAAGTATTTTAATCTCTATTTAAGAGATAAGAAAGGGAGCCTCTGAGATGACAAATACCCAGGGCCACACAGCCAGTAGATAGCAAAGATAAGACTCCAGCTCAAGTCTCTGGACTTCAAGGTCAGTCCTTTTCCCCCTAAACCAGTGTCAAGGGAGACTCTGCAGAGAATAAAGAAGAAAGCCGAAGACAGAAACCCTGGGAACAGTTACATTTATGGGGGCGGGAAAAGAGGAAACACTGAAGGAAACAGAGATGGAGCAGTCAGGACGGGTAGGAAGAAACCAGAAGAGTAGAAGCCAAGGGAAGAACATCTCAAGAAGATGAACAGTGCCAGATGATGCAGAGAGGTCAAGGATGAACACTTAAGCAAGACTGTGAGATCTGGAGACGAGGATGCCACTGGAGAGAGTTTCCATAAGGTGATAAGAACCAAGGCAGGAAAAGTGGCAAGAAAGCCAAAGGAGAAGAGGCTTACTTCAGTCCCTCAGAGATCTGTTATCTGGTAGATAGGGGAACTCCCGGTACAAATACAGATTGGGACCAACATAATCCCTCTACAACTCAGCACCAGACTTGCTTTGGTTGAAAATTTCATGCGGCTGAAAATCACGGTCAAACTGAATGATGGCACAATGGATACAGCATAGACTTGAGGAGCCAGGAAAACCTGGGTTCAAATCCTGCCTCCGATACTTACTAGCTGTGGGACCCTGAACTAGTCACAACCGATGTCTGCTTCCATTTCCTCATCTGTAAAATGGGAATAATAATAATTGCACCTACCTCACAGGGATATTGTAAGGGTCAAATGAGATAATATACATAACGAGCTTTTCAAATCTTCAAGTGTTACATAAATGTTAGTTATTCTTAGTATTATCCTCTTTGACCTTAACTAGGCTGGTCCTGGGGGGACAAAGATATAATTCAAAATGGTGGCCTTACAGGATGCCTTCCCCACTTGGTAATACATAGATAGATATGTATGTGTGTGTGTGTGTGTGTGTGTGTGTGTGTGTGTGTGTGGTATGTGTGTGGATAGGTGTGTATACATACGTATGTGTGTGTGTGGTATGTATATATTATATATATATATATATACACACACATATATATACACATATCTACGTATGAGAAAGAATGCTTTCAAGTTGCAGAGCACTTTGCAAATATCACCTTATTTGATGTTCACAAGAGGCCTGTGAGTCAGGTACTACAGGCTACCATTATCACTCCCATTTTACAGATGAGGAAGTCAGGTAATCGACTTGCCTGTCTGAGGTCACACAGTTGGGGCCACCCCAGACCCAAACTAGCTCTTCTTGGCTCCAAGTCATGCCACTTCTCCGAAGGCAAAAACCTGCCAGGGACCTCCAGTGTCTGACGTGGCCTGCAAGAAGTCGGGATTGAACGGCTTAGTTCCCAAGCCTGCCAGAAAATTGGCAAGGCTTTAAAAATGGTGCTTGAGGCAACTGTGTAAACCTCACAATCAGCCCTTTCCTGAAGGACCAGAGTGTGGAAGCAGGCAGAGGGGGGTGGTGAATAGAGAGGCCTCATGACTCTGGAGAGACCTTTTTTAGAGGGGAGCCGGCCTGTAAATGACAAAAGAGGGAACGAGGGGAAGGGGTAGTCTTAAGAGGGTGGAGAGGAGAGGGAGAGAGAGACAAGGAGAAGCAAAGCAGGAGGGAAGAGGTGGGATAGAAGGGGATGAGAAAAGAGAGGAAGGGGAATGGGAGATGAGGAAAATAGAAAGAAGAGTAGGGGAAAGAAGGCAAAAGGCAGAGAAGGAGGGGGAGAGTAGAAAAGAGGAAGAATAAGGAAGGGAAAGGAATCTATATAGCACCTTCTCTGTGCTGTGCACTGTGCTAAATGCTTTTTTACAAATATTACCTCATTTGATCTTCACAACAACCCACAAGATAAGTGCTATTATTATCCCTATTTTATAGTTGAGACTGAGGTAAATAGCGGTCAAATGACCTGTCCAAGGTCACACTGCTAGTAAGTGTCTGAGGCCAAATTTGAACTCAGGTCTTCCTGACTACATTCCAGTGGTCCAGTGCTAACCACTCCATCAGCTGTCTCATGACAAAGGAAGGGGAAAGGGTTAGAGAAGAGAGTATGGGAGATAAAGGGAGAGAACCCCAGGGAATGGAGGGAGGGGTGGGAATGAGGGAAGAGAATGAAGGGAAGGAAGGAGAGAAGAGATGGAGGAGTGGAAGAGGAAGGAGCTAGAAGGAGGTGGGGAAGGATGAAAGGAGTGGAAGGAAAAGAAATGAAGAGAGGAGAGGCGGAAAGAGGGAGAAGAGGGAAACGGAAGGAGAAAATAGGGGGTAATAGGGGAGGAGGGAAGAGAAGAAAAGGGGAGGAAGATGAACAGGAAGGATAGGCTAGAAGGAAGGTAATAAAGGAAGGAGAGGAGGGGAGGATGAAAAGGGGAGGGAAGGAAGGGGGATAAAACAGAGGGAAGGGGAAGGAGGGGAGGCGAGGAGGAAGGGGAGGAAGGAGGGATAGACAAAGGAGGAGAAACGGGGGATAAGAAGAGGGAGGAGTAGGTTAGGGGACAAGAGAAGGAGGAAGGAGGGATTGACAGGGGAGGAAGGAGAGATAGAGGGCAGAAGGCAGAGGGGGAGGAGGGATGGGCAAGGGGAGCAGGAGGGAAGGAGGGAAAGGGGAGAAGGGACAAGCAGGAGAAGGGGTGGGCAGGGGGAGAGGGAGGAGGGGAGAAGGGATGGAAGGATGGGGGATGGGCAGGGGAGGAGGAGGCGGAGGGAGGGAGGGGCAAGGCAGGGAGCGCGCGGCTGCCGGGCAAGGGGCGCACGCCCCCCACGCTCACGGCCCTCCCCTCGCTGAGCCCCAGCAGACGAGGCCCCTCAGGATCAAGGTCACGGCTGCTCCCGGGGGAGGGGCAGCATCCCCGGCCCGGCCCCGGAGAAGCGAAGCCGGCGTCTCACCTCGACCTCGGCTCCGCTGGGTCGGAAACGGCTTTCCCAGTCACCCAGGCAACCGCGCTCCCGGGGGGGAGACGTCAGGACGTGGTGGCGTCATGGCCCACGCCGCCTACGCGAAAGCGCCGGCTCGGCCCGCCAGCCCCGGCCCGCCCCCACTCGCCGGAGTGAGCGCACAGGTCCCTGGGGCGGAGAACAATGGTCGTCATGCGTGCGCATGCGCCTAGTGGGGTCATGGGGACAAGGAGCGGGGCTTGGAAATGAATGAAGAGGGGAAGTGAAGGGCGTTGCGGGGGAGGTTGGCAGGGGGTGCGGAAGCGCGGCTGTCAGAGCCCCTCAGTCCCCCGCTCGCGGGCCCTTTCGGGTGCGTCATGCAGCCCCCCCTTTGACATATAGGGAAACTGAGGCTCCGTGGCCCCTGCTCCTACCGCTGCGTCGCCACGTTTGTGTGGAGCAGCCTCCGAGGCCGCGCTGCAGGAGACCCCCGTGGGCACTGAGCCCCCCCTCAGAATCACGCGTGGTCTCAGCTGACGCGCGCCCCACGCCCCTCTCTGCAGCCCTGCACCGTTACCCGGACCTCCCTTGTCTCCCACTCCCCCGGACTCCCCAGCAGGCGGGGTCGTGGGCAGGCGCGTGTTCGCCTCCATCCAGGAGGGGCCAGGATCCCAAAGCGACCCCACGAGCCACGGGGCGAGGAAGGCCCTGGGGGCTCTCCCAGTCACATGCTGCGTGCACCCTCAGGGAAGGCCGCGGCAGGACCACGGTCACGTGTATTCTCGACCAATTTTGTTCTGTCCTTTTAGTCTAGTAGGACCCCGAGACCCCGCTGGGGCAACTCCTACGTGCATATGACCCCCCCACCCCTATGTGGTTTGTTTCTTCTCGGAGAGGGGGCTGCAGGGATGCATGTACTATATATAATCCCCATAATGTGGTTTGTTTCCTCTTGAAGGGGGAGGAGGAGGGATAAACTAACTGATCGGGGCCTGAGAGGAGATGAGGTACAGCAGGAGGGGAACAGAAGGCAGCCAACCAAGCGTGCCGAGTACACCCTGTTTATCCGGGGCTCAGAGCACTCTTGCAGCCATTCATTCTCACCAAGTCCTTTGGAGGGAAGGGGGAAGGGCGGGGGGTGTTCCGTACGTGCGAGCAAAGGCACGAAGAGTGCCTTACACGTGGTGGAGAATAAGCATTGGTTGGGCTACATTCTTAGAGCAGAGGGAATCTAGACATAAAGGACGATAAAAAATTAGGCTAGGTTTGTGTAGTGCCTCATCCACAAATGGAAAAAGCTACTCACCGCAGATAAAGGCAAGATTCCTTCAGTATCCTGAAGCCAGTTTGCCCAACAATAGGATTCACGTTTAATATAGTGCATAAGAAGGAGGCTTAGAGCAAAATTGGGGAGCCCACAGCTGGAAGACTAGATCCCAGCCTTGACTTGATTTCATCCAAGGTCACACAGTCATCGGTTTTTAGGGCTGGAAGGCTCTTGCCCTGGCCCTTACCTCAACTTGGAATTAAGTGCTCCCCTTGTGGTGCTATTCTATCAAAATCTCTAAAAGATTAAAGACATTTAAAAGCTGGGGATACTAGTCTGCTCCTCTCCCCTCCCCAGGAAGTTTTAAACTCTTTGAGGATGACTATCATTTTTAATCCTTATACTTTTAAAAATTATTTATTTTTAGTTTTCAACATTCACTTCCATAAGATTATGAGTTTTAAATTTTCTCTCCCTCTCCTCTCCCCTCCCCAAGACAGTGTCCAATCTGATATAGGCTGTACATATTCATTCATAGTAAGCATATTTTCACGTTAGTCATAATGTAAAGAAGACTTAGAACTAATGGGAGAAACCACAAGAATGAATAAACAAAACAAAACAACAAAAGAAAAGGAGAACAAATAGTATGCTTCCATCTGCATTCAGACTCATAGTTCTTTCTCTGAATGTGTTAAGCATTTTCCATGTGAGTCTTTTGGAGTTGTCTTAGATCCTTGCATTACTGAGAAGAGCCAAGTCTATCAAAGTCAGTCATTGCACAGTGTGGCTATTACTGTGTACGATGTTTTTCTGGTTCTGCTCACTTCACTCAGCATCAGTTCATTCAAATCTTTCTAGGTTTTTCTGAAGTCTACCAGCTCATCATTTCTTATAGCACAACAGTATTCAATTACATTCATGTACTACAACTTGTTCAGCCATTCCCCAGTTGATGGGCATCCCCTCAATTTCCAATTCTTGGCCACCACAAAAAGAGCTACTATAAATATTTTTGTACACATGGGAATCTTTATACTTCTTGCGCCTATGAAGTACTTAATACACATTTACTGAATTTTTGCAAGGGTATTTTTCATAGGATAACCCAAGTGCTCTGAAGCCCAAATAGCAAGAATACACCAGAATGATATCCAGGAGCTTACTATCTTCCTCTTTCTTTCAAGCTCATCTTTTTTGTTTTCTCTGTTTCTGTGTGGTTGTCAATCCCTTAGTCCTTTCTCCACCTTTCCTCTTTCTTCTTTTCCCCTTTCTTTGTTCATCTTCCTAATCTCCCTAATTTACCTATTCATAATGTGAAATTGGTAACAGAATCATCGATTTAGGTCTGAGATTCTCTGGTCCATTTGAGATCATCTGGTCCAACTCCCTCATTGAGGAAACTAAAGCCTCCAGAGGCTAAGTGGCTTGTCCAAGGTCAGGTAAGTGGTCAGTATCAGAGATCTTTCAATCTGATATCTTCACGATACTTTTTGTTCCTTTGGACCACAAAGGACAAATCTAGGAACAATGAATGGGAGCATGAGGTAAAATTTAGGTTGATATCAATCAGGACATTTCCTAACACTGAAAGCCATCCCAAAGTAGAACAGACTACTTCTGGAGGTAGGGGCTCTCCCCCCTACTGGAAGGTTTCCAGCAAAAATGGCTGGCCCCTTGAACCACTCCTGTGTTACTATTTTCACATATGGGTTGAACTATGGAATCTTTGAGGAGATCTCTTCTACATCTGGAATTCTGTGTTGGACCTGAACCTTACAATAACTAAGTAAGAATAATTGCCCAAAGGCCATTATATCACCTAGCCATAAAATTAATTTTAGCCTACATACTCATTTATTTCATCATTTCTCCTCTTGCTTCTGCTTCCCAGTGTCAAACAAAGCCCAGGGTAGCAGAGCTCTTATAGCTTCAGGTCACTTTTTCTCTTGTCTCAGCAGACAAGCTTATTTATTGCAAATAGATGGCTTGTGTCTCTTGTTCCACTTTTTAAAACTGCTGTAGTGTCATTTAAACATTTTTCATCACGCTGTAGTTTCTTACTATAACGGTAACCCCAAATAGCTTTCTGCTGTGTGCTAGGTGTGCAATTTTGGATCTGTACCTTTTTTGTATAGAAGCTAAACTAATTGAAGGTAGAAGTCCATTCCATTCTACCTTCATGAAGCACATTGGAGGCACTTAAGAAATGCTTGTTTTATTGAATTGGTTTCCTCCAACATCCTTGAAATATGTCTTCATCTGAATGATGTAAACTTGAATAACCTATAAAATCAAGATACGAATATTGCCCAAATGACTCTTATTACTAAGAACTCAGGGTTTTAGGATCTATTCTGGGATAAATTTTAGGATGCAGATTCATTTTAATTTTCTGAGGGTGTAATCATTAAGCAACTGATGGAACATGTCAGGCTAGAGAAGAAGAAAAGGAACATCTGGG